CAGCAGAGTGATGGCACAAGGGAAAAAACTGTCTTTGTTTTGGCATGCAATGCCCTATAGCAGCATCCTGAGAGAAGGAGTTGAAACAGTTTATGTCCCGTATGTGAGGGGTCTGTAGCTATTTTCTCAGCCCTTTTTCTGACCTGTGCAGTATACAGGTCCTCAGTGGAAGGCAGGGTGGTTGCAACTAGCTTTAAGTTTGTTTGTTTTTTGCAGTCCTAACTATCTGTTGAAGTCTGTACCAATCCTGTTTGGTTGCTGTACCAAACCAGAGAGTTATAGAAGTACAAATGGTACACTCAATAATTCTTCTGTAGCACTGTATCAACAGCTCCTGGGGCAGTCTGAGTTGATGCAGAAATATATAATATTTAATGCTAAATATATAATATTTAATGTTGAATATATATAATATTACAAATTAGCATAACTGATTAAAAAGAAATAATTGGTTTCATAAAAAGAGTGAAGAGAGAGCCAGTTCGGTCTAGTGATGGAGGCACGAGGCTAGAAACCAGGAGATGGTGAGTTCTGGTCCCCTTTTAAGCATGAACCCAACCCACCTCACAAAGTTGTTCTTGTGGGGAAAATAGGAAGAGGAAGGAGCATTAATATATCTTTGTTATGTTATTTATAAAAATAATAAAGGTAGGATTACAAAAATCAAAACAGATTCTTTGCTTTCCATTTCCTAAAGCCTTTCAAAACTGTTACGTTCTTCTAAAAGAAAAAGAACAGATAATGGCTCTATATTTCTCATGCTGAAAAAGATCTGATGGTTGCTGTGTCCACTTTTCTTTGATCTATAGTCCACAATCAGAAATAAACCTCCCCTCAAAGTATTAAATTAGATATCTGCATTTCATACTGAGAAGTGAACATAAGCAACCCAAGAAAATCCAAATGGGAATAAAAAAAACAATGACAGGAGACCCCCGCCCCCCTCCCCCCCAAAAAAAACACCTGAAAATTTGTGTCCTTTAATCTCTCTACAGGATATTCTCTGAGGTGGTTGGTTTGACTGGGCCTTTAGAACATCTAACTTACTTTAAGCTCTTTTATTTATGAGAACAAAAATGCAGAGAGGATGCAAATTGAACAGGTGTTATTATATTGATTTCTAAATTTCCAAACTTCTTTATAAAAGGAACACAAAAGCATACAAAATTTGCTTTTGAAAACTGTGCAATGCTTTTGCAATCCTGTTTTCAGTCGGAAAAAAATACATTTAAGCTAACTTTATATTTTAAAAGGCGTATTGCCAATCTCAATAACATAACAATAACAATCAATAACAAAAAAAGAGAGAGATAGCAGTAAAAGAGAGGATATGTTTTACCCCAGTTGACTGGAAAATATATTGCAAAGTGATGTGAAATTAGATGAGCCTTAGTGCTGGAGGTGTAATTCGCAGGTGATTTTCACATGACCACAGCTATTTTTCTTCCTGTTTTCCATCAACAGATGCAATATAAACAGAGCAGCCCTCCTCAATGACTCTCAGGGTAGATTACACGTTTTGGCACCTGATGAGCCAAATGATCTCAAAATGGAGTCTCTGCCTTTCTCCTTTCACTGGCATGTACCTCAGCAGAAGAACTGTCTCTGTATTAATCTATTTAACTGTACGAAAATCTCTATTGGGAAAAAAAGTTATGTCCTCTGCTTTTAGCTGATGCAAGCACACACCTGTCGCAGCAGAGAAAAGCGTTTCCTTCTTTGCTGGAGGAAAAGAGAAATTGCCCTTTTTAAGATGGCACCTGTCAACAGCCCCCCCCCCCTCCGAGGCATTTTGGTTTGCCAAGCGATAGCATTAAAAACAGGTCTTTAATTTTTAAAAAGGGTCAACTTTCCTTTAACCAAAAGTTTTTCCCCCCTCAAAGGAATGGGTCAAAGTCGATGCTGCAAATCTCTAGGTCAACATCTTACAACATTTATATCCTTGCACTTGGGCATCTTATATACATGCGATGTTTTCAGACCACGGAGAGAGTCCTCCCCCATCGCTAGGGTGGAGGCTCTTCCGCAATCTGCACGAACTTCCACGGGTTGCAATTGTTTAGGGGCGACAAGGAAGGAAGGAAGGAAAGCAATCTTTGAACCGAATCCTCAAGAGTTGGGCAACTACTCCAAAATTCCGGTTTCAGCCCCGCCGACCCCCTCTGCGCCCCACCGGGACTGTCCCCTGCCCCATCCAACCGGCAGCCCCGCATCTCACCTCGGCCTCCTCGCCTCCGAGCGATGGCCGTCCTGCAGCCGCACAGGAGAAAACGAGGACTGGGAGAGGCCAACGGAAGCAGGCGACAACACCGTTAAATCACATTTCGGTGACTGGAAACCAGAGGGAGGGCCGAGCGAAGCCGGTTTCGCGGGACTTAACCGCGACGTCGCCACCGCCTCGCCCCGGTTGGCCCTGCCTTCTTACCCCGTCCGGCCTCCGCTCCGAAAAGCAAGGACCCCCAAACAAAGCCAGGCTAGGTATCCCCGCCTGAGCCCAGACTCTTCTTCACTTTCTGGACATATTAAACTCCCATGTTTCCTTGGCACATCGTCTACAATTGGACAGAAGAAAATGCCTCTTAGAGCAATAACTTCATGGATCTCTTACTATCAGCAAGACAAAGGGTCTAATTTCTTCCTGTTGTAGAATTTGCATATAAAACCTCAGTTCGTTTTTTTCTACTTGCATGACACCTTACCAAAAGAATGAAGAGATGCTGTACATAGCATTCCAGCTTCACAGACGCACACACAAAAGCAAACTCTCGTCTTCCTCCAAAAGCACAGGGAAGCTGACAGGTTTGGCCACAATAGTTTATTGTAAACAAATCCATTATTAACTTGTCATATAATAAGGTAATAATATATAAAATAGCCTAAGACCTGGGTAAGATGTTAGCAAGTTATAACAAGCGGTGTGGCCATTTTGCTGGGAAGAGCTAGCTCTGTCATGGGTAAATGAGCATGCCACAAAACTTGTGTGAAAGAAAGATTTAAGACATAGGCATTCTGGTCCAGTGCAAGTGCTGCCTTTGTAGCCATTGTGGTGAGCTACGGGTGAGAGGGGAGGGCAACGGCACTAAGGTATGCTCATAAAACATAAACAGGTAAGGGGAGTAGTGGGTGCAATTGGCCAATGTCTCACATTCTCATGGTTAACGATTGGCTCAAACGTTTGAATTAGAAATCTATAAGAGAGATGGCGAAGAATAGTCCAGAGTGGTCATCATCATGTCAGTCTGCTGATTTGGGTTCTACTGCAATAAACAGGTTCCTGATCCTTCCACAAATGTCACTGCTATCTATTGTAGTCTACTTTGGGAATGAACTTCCAACAATATATATTTTTTTCATTTGCGATCATTCACTGGAGTTCTTGTACTGTAACCATAACCTTCTTTCTAATAAATGCTATTAATCAGAGTTCTAAGAAACTTGTCCCTGGGATCGATTATTTCCTGTTCAGATTACAAGCGAAAGTGTGACACACTAACCATAAAAAGCCACCCTAAAATGACTCTAAGCATGATCAACAGGTTGCTCACCATACAATAATTCATAATTTACAAGCAATCATGGCTTGTAGCTTTTTCTTTTGATTGCTTTCTTTTTTCTTCTTTATTTTGTATTAGCTTCTATTAGTTTTTATCTTCCTTTAAAAAATTTAAAATAAAGTTATACATTAAAAATCTTGATTAAGCAAAGCTATAGATGATAAGATTCTACCAGTTCTTTATCTTTAATTGCGTTAAGAAGCAAGGTCATTTTAGAGTGTCTCCATGATTTTGGAAATAAACTCCATCTTAAGAGTTGAAAAAGAGCCACTAATTTGGAATTCTTGTAAAACAAGGCATGAAACCATCAGCTATAGTGGTTTAAGTTTAACTTTTTTTGGTTGAAGTAAAAAGATGTCACTTACACAAATAATTACTACATTTCATTATTCATGCAGTCTGCAGTAAGTAGAATAAAAAATAACCGAATTACAGATTTCTAGTGCTGCTAGCATCTCTAATTCTGTTTTGCTATTAATTTTGAGTTCTTCCCATGATCTGAAAAATTGTTTAGTGTAGACTAAATTAGCAACTGTTTTCTGGCAATCCACTGCTTCAAATTCTTTCCTTTTTTAATGGAATTTTTATTTTTATGTACAGGTGGTCTTCGACTTACAACCACAATTGACCCCCAACATTTCTGTTGCTAAGTGAGACATTTGTTAAGTGAGTTTTGTCCCATTTTGCAACTTTTCTTGCCACAGTTGTTAAGTGAATTACTGCAGTTGATAAGTTAGCAACCCGGTTAAGTGAATCTGGCTTCCCCATTAACTTTGCTTGTCAGAAGGTCAAAAGGGGATCACACGAACTTGGGACCCTGCAACAGTCATAAATATGAATCAGTGGCCAAGCATTTGAATTTTGATCACCTGATCATGGGGATGCTGCAAAGATCACAACTATGAAAAAAGGTCATAAGTCACATTTTTCAGTGCTGTTGTAACTTTGAACGGTCACTAAAAGAACTGTTGTAAGTCAAGGACTGTATGTATAGCCTTTGAGTCTGGTTCTTTGTGAGTTGCTTCTACTCTTGAATTCGACAAGAAAGTTCAGCACTATATTCTGCCTGGCTGGCTGAGGAATTCTGGGAGTTGAAGTCCACAAGTCTTAAAAAGCTGCCAAGTTTGGAGACCTCTGGTTAAATACTGTACCATCCTTTATTTAAAGCTGCTTTGGAGAATCGTCGCTAACGTCTTCTTAAATCTTTCCTGCTGAAGGAGATCCAGTCCCCAGAAAGCTGTGTGGCTTTCTTGGCTTTCTGACTGAGGAATTCTGGGAGTTGAAGTCCACAAGTTACCAAGTTTGGAGAGAGACCTCTGTATTTAACCACCTCCATCAAACGAAAAAGCGGCGACTCCCAGACGGGGCCGCTTCCTGCCTCTTTTCGCTCGGCCCGGCAGGGGGCGCTCCCAAAGCCGGAAGACGCGCGCGGCGTCCCGGTTGTCCGGTAACGTTCCGGAAGCGCTGCCGGACCCAGGAGGAGCCGAAACCGCGAGGAGACGGAGGGCGGCGTGGCTTCTCCGTTGGGGACGGTGAGCACGAGCCCATTTCCCGAGGTCGTCTTAGGGGAGGAGGCCGGCTTGGAGCGCGGATGGGAGGATTTCCCTGTTTTACCTCAACGCGACGAAAGTCATAATGTAACCGGGCTTCGTTTATTACAATAAAAGCAAATCCTTTCGTAAAACTATACTTTATTTATTTATTTTACATTTTTGTTTCTTTTGTCCTTGCTCTTGCCTTTCCGTCCACGAGGCGGTGTTTCTCAAGCTCAGCGGCTGTAAGGTGAAATGGACCAACTTCCAGAATTCCCCAGCCAGCCTAGCTTGAGAAACGGTGCTCCAAGGTTAGTCGTGATTGGGATCCCCCTGAGGAAGGGCCGCTCTGCTGTCTGTCGAAAGCCCTGGGGTGATTTAGAAGAGGTCCCAGCAGTTAATTCTCTTCTGTCTTGCCCAGAGAGTAATAATATAGAACAGTGGTTCTCAACCTTTTTAATGCCGCGACCCCCCAACCGGTCATAAGTCGAGGACTACTCAACCGGTCGTAAGTCGAGGACTACTCAACTGGTGCAGCACCGTTTGCAGAATGGGACTTTTGGCGGGCTCAGCAGGGCAGAGACAGCCTGGACAATTCCTATTGGCTTTTGAAAGCCAATAGAATTAGACTCTATTCAAGAGAGTCTATTCTATTGGCTTTCAAAAGCCAATAGAATAAAAGGGAGTAGCACAGCTAAGGAAAAGGGGGAAAAAAATGGCGGTAATTGTTTGGCGACCCCCGTGAAATGGTCATTTGACCCCAAATGGGGTCCCGACCCACAGGTTGAGAACCATTGATATAGAACAATGACAGAGTTGGAAGGGACCTTGGAGGTCCTCTAGTCCTACTTTGTGCTCAGACAGGAAGCCCTATACCAGGGGTCCCCAACCCCCGGTCTGCAATCTGGTACCGGTCCCCGGCATGCCAGAAACTGATCCATACGAACAAGTGAATCCCCATCCGTGGGATGCAGGCAGCACATGAAATCATGCCCCCCTCCAGTCCATGGAAAAATCTGTCTGCACAGAACTGGTCCCTGGTGGCCAAAAGGTTGGAGGCCACTGCCCTATATCATTTCAGACAATTGGTTGTCCAGTGTCTTCTTAAAAACTTAAAAATTTCCAGTGTTGCAGCATTCAAACTTCTGGTGGCAAGTTGTTCCACTGATTAATTGTTCTGTCAGGAAATTTCTTCTTAGTTCTAGGTTGCTTCCCTCCTTGATTGGTTTCCATCCGTTGCTTCTTGTCCTGCCTTCAGGTGCTTTGGAAAATAGCTTGACTCCCTCTTCTTCGTGGCAGCCCCTGAGATATTGGAACTCTGCCCTCATGTCATCCCTAGTCCTTCTTTTCACTAGACTACACATACCCAATTTCAGCAACTGTTCTTTATATGTTTTAGGCTCTAGTCCCCTGATCATCTTTGTTGCTCTTCTCTGCACAAGGTGGGAAGGGAAGGGACTTCGCAGGTCTCCTAGGACAATCCCTTGCTCAAACAGGAGCTCCTATTCCATTCCAGACAAATGGCTGTCCAGTCTCTTCTTTAAAACATCTAGTGTTTGAGTATCACAACTTCTGGTGGACAGCAGTTCCACTGATTAATTGTTCTCACTGACAGAAAATTTCTCCTTAATTCTAGGTTGGATTTGTCTTTAGCAATCTTCTACCTGTTACTTCTTGTCCTGCTCTCAGGTGCTTTGGAGGATAAGTCGACCTCCTCTTTCCTCTGGGACCCCCCAAGTACCGGAAGACAGCCATCATGTCACCCATTGTAGTCCCCTTCATACTTAGTTCCTTCAACTGTTTATTTTATGATTTAGCCTCCAAACCCCTTATCATCTTTGTTGCTCTTCTTTGCACTCTTTGTAGGGTCTCAGCATCTTTTTTGTATCATAGTGACCAGAACGTGGTGCAGTATTCAATTGTGGTCTCACTAATGCATTACAGGTAGTCCTCAACTTATAACATTTCGCTTAGTGACTGTTTGAAATTACAGCGGCACTGAAAAAAAGTAACTTATGAGCATTTTTCGCACTTAATGACCGTTGCAGCATCCTCATGGTTATGTGATTTACTTTCGGATGCTTGACAACTGACTCACATTTATGACAGTTGCAGTGTCCTGGGGTCATGTGATCACCTTTTGCAACCTTCTGAAAAGCAAAGTCAATGGGGAAACCAGATTCACTTAACAACCAGGTTACTAATTTAATACCTGTAGTGACTCACTTAACAAATGTGGGAAGAAAAGTAGTAAAATGGGGCAAAACTTACTTAATTTCTCACTTAGCAACATGGTCCTAAGTTGAGGACTACCTGTATAAAGGGGCACTATCATTTCTCATGCTCTTGCTGCTATCCTTCTGTTGATGCAGCCTAGGATTACATAGACTTTTTGGCACCTTCAGCACATGGCTGGCTCATACTTAAGTGGCAATCTACTAGGACACCTAGATCACTCTCACAATTACTACTATTAAGCCAGGTACCACTTATTCTATATCTGTATTTGGTTTTTCTGCCTAACTGCAGGACGTTACTTTCCCCACCATTGAATTGCATTTTGTTGGATAGGGCCCAGTGTTCGAATCTGTCAAGATCCTTCTGAATCTTGAGTCTCTCTTCCAAAGTGTTAGCAATCCCCCCAGCTTGGGGTCATCTGCAAATCTGATGAGTTCCCCTTTTATCTCTTCATCTAGATCATTTATGAAAATGTTGAAGAATACTGGGCCCAAGACAACCTTGAGGTACCTCACTGCATACTTCCCCCCATATAGATGTAGTTCCATTGAAGACTACACAGTAAGTATGGCTGGTCAGCCAACTGCAGATCCATCAGTGTCTACCCCACATTGTTCTGTCTTACCAAGACTTATGCTGTGATCTACTTTGTCAAATGTCTTACTGAAGTCTAAGTAAACTGTGTCTACAGTGTTTCCCTGATTCACTAATTTACTCACTTTGTCAAAGAAGGCTGCAAGGTTTGTCTGGCATGATCTGTTTTTCACAAACTCATGTTGGCTTCTAGTAATAGCTTACTTGTTTCTAAGTTTTTGCAGATCTGTTGCTTGATTATTTGTTCCAGGATTTTCCCAGGTATTGATGTTAGCCTGATTGGTATATAGTTTCCTTGATCCATTTTTTCCTTTTTGAAGAGTGGAACCACATCAGCTCTTTTCCAGACCTGTGTAATTCCTCCATACACCAGGAGCTCTGCAACACTTTGAAAGTCTTTTTGCCCCATTCACTTTTTCCAAGTGGGGTTTATCCAGGTGAGCATTGTAGTCAATTAGGGGGGGGGGAATTGAGAGGGCTCCATAGGCAACAATGATTTCCAACTTTCTAGTTCAGTGGTTCTCAACCTTCCTAATGCCACGACCCCGCAACCGGTCGTAAGTCGAGGACTACCTGTATTTCCCTGCCCAGGAGCGCCGCGCATGTGTGGTACCGCCTCCTGCGCTGGCCGAGGCGTAGCTGGCAAGCGGCAGAGACGGCGCAGGCCGACCACTGGCTGGGCCACCAGCTGGCCCAGCCCAAGGCAGGTAAGGCACCCACCGGGCCCCACGGGTGCCAGCAACCCTCCCTGCGCTCGCCGGCCTCCCACCTCCCACCCCTGGCCCTCTTTTACTTACTTTTAGTAGTTGCTCAGCAGGGAGGGAAGCTTTCCAGAAAGTTTGCCTTGCAGCACCGTTTGCAGACTGGGGCTTTTGGTGGGCTCAGCAGGGCAGAGACAGCCTAGACAATTCCTATTGGCTTTTGAAAGAGAGAGTCTATTCAAGAGAGTCTATTCTATTGGCTTTCAAAAGCCAATAGAATAAGAGGGAGTAGCACAGCTAAAGAAAAGGGGGAAAAAATGGCGGACAGCCTTGTTTGGCGACCCCCGTGAAATGGTCGTTCGACCCCAAATGGGGTCGCGACCCACAGGTTGAGAACCGCTATTCTAGTTGCCTCTGTTTTTATTCTCTTGCTAAATGCTTCTTGTGGAAATGGGATGTCTCTGAATCTTTATGATTTTCAAAAAGTTTATAATACTGTAATTATAGTAATAATATCAACGACCCTTCAAAAGCATGTGTCTCTTAATTGTTCTAAAGCTTTCTAAATACTTTGGACAAAGTTTTGATTTTTATGCATATATTTGCTTATATAGAACTACATTTACATATACACTGGATATAGAAAATCTCACCTCCCTATTAAAATGCCAGGTTTTGAGAGGTAAAAAAAAATCAGACTAAGATAAACCACTTCAGAATTTTTGCTACTTTTAACATAAGATATGAGCTGTGTAATTCAACTGAAAAACAAACAAATCTTTTAAGGGGGAAAATAACAACAATATGGTTGCATAAGTGTGCACATGCTCTTATAAGTAGGGATGTGGCTTTGTTCAGAATTAAGCAGTCATATTCAAACTGATGTTTAATAGTAGTCACTACACTACACACCTGGCATCAATTACAGTGACTGATCAAGCCCATATAAAGTTCTAGTAAGAACTTCCTGACCTCAATTGAGACCGGCGACTCCATCACTAAGCGATGTGACGATAAATATCATGTGATTGCACCCGACTTACAATATCAGTTCGTCAGTTCCCACACAGTTATTAAGTTCTCCCACCATTGTTAAAATGATGTCATGTGACTGCAACTTTTTGCTGGCTTCCCCCTTGACTTTGCTCATTGGAAGTTGGCTGTGAAGGTTGTAAATGATGATCACGAGACTGCAGGATACTGTTACTGTCATAAATGTGTGCAGACTGCGACATGCCTGAATCATGATGAAAGAACTGCAGGGATGCTGCATCACTTGCAACTTTAAGAATCAATTGTAAATGTCCTTTTTCAGCAGCAACGTAAATTTGAACATCATTGAATGAATGATTGGTAAGCAAGGGCTCTTTATATACAGTATATATCTACTATAAGTCATACTAAGATTACAGAAATTGGTATGAATGTGTGTGTATTGTGTGTATAAAATTTATAATTGTTTATATGTCATAGTTAAATTACAGAAATTGGTATAAATGTGTGTGTTTATTGTGTGTATAAAATTTATAATTGCATAATTATATAAGTATACAATATTAATAAAGTTGCAAAATATAGATACAAATACATATAACTAATTTTATATGATCTTTGCAAGATCACATAATCACATGTCATAATCAAATTTCTATTTGCTTCACAGTCTTTTCAATTGTATCAAGTAAAAAATTCAAATGAATAAATATTACAAATTATACGTTTAAAAATGAGTTTTTAAAAAAAATTGCTTTTTTTTTAAGGATAATGGCAGGAAAAGTAAAGTGGGTGACTGACATCGAGAAATCTGTATTAATAAACAATTTTGAAAAGCGAGGATGGATCCCAGTGTCTGAAAATGAAGACTGGAACTTCTACTGGTAAGCAACATTTTTTACATATTATGGAGTATTACATACACAATTCTTAAAGGTGATTGTTTAATGCAGATAATCCTTGACTTATGACTAGTCGCTTAGCAACTGTTTGAAGTCATGATGGATCTCTTCTCCAGGACTACTTATGAGTTTGATTGAAATTTCCAATAGCTGGGGCTCCTATGTGGTCATTTATTTATTTATTTATAAGACTTATATACCGCTTTAAGTGCAAGCACTCTCTAAGCGGTGTACACCAGTAAGCAATGTATATATATATTTACATTGCCCTCAACAATCTGGGTCCTCATTTTACCTACCCCAGAAGGATGGAAGGCTGAGTCAACCTTGAGCCGATGAGATTTGAACCGCTGACCTGCTGAACACAGTCAGCTAAAGTGGCCTGCAGTACTGCACTCTAACTGCTGCGCCACCTGTAGTCACTTTATGGGTGTTTAGCAACTGTTTGTAGTGTGATTTATAATTTTTTTGCCAGAAACTGATGTTTACTTCTGGTTTCCAGCAAAAAACGGCCGTTGTGGACAAAGGATTTACTTAACTATCATGGCATTACCTTTGCGACTATGGTGTTCACTTAAAAGCCACTGCAAAAAAGATGGTAAAATCAGGTGTGGTCATTTTTAGTTTTTCAGTTTCTTTTGCTAAACATATTGAACCCATGAGCAAAAGACTTTTATTTCAACTGCAGATTTAGTCGTGTCATAATGATCAAAGATGTTTCTTGACTTAACAGTACTTGCATATGAGTCAAGAGATACTGTACAGCAGTTTAATTTTTCACTGTGACTAGATTTCTTTTATGGTTGTAATTTTTTTAAGGATGAAATAAGTGGTAATAAAACACGGAATGTGTTGCTAATCTGAATCCGTGTTTGGAAGCACCCTGAGTAATACTTGTCTTTACAGGATGAGCGTACAAACCATTCGGAATGTTTTCAGTGTAGAAACTGGTTATCGTCTCTCTGATGACCAGATTGTCAATCATTTCCCTAACCATTATGAGCTGACCCGGAAGGACTTAATGGTGAAAAATATTAAAAGGTACAGAAAAGAATTGGAAAAAGAAGGCAGCCCTCTTGCGGAGAAGGATGAAAATGGAAAATATCTTTATTTAGGTGAGTTGATTTAGGCAATTAGATTTATTTATTTGTGTTTAACTTTGAATACCAGGTATGCTAAGGCTGCATCTCTACACCTGCTTAAACGTTTTCTTCAGGTTTTACTAAACTTCATGGATACGCTTTTATGGAGCAACCTTTTGGCAACAGAGGAGAAATGGTTTTCCATTGCTGCCTTTATAGTCCAGCTTAAGGCTTTGGTTCCTGATGATGCCCCTTCTGGGCACGATATAGTTTTTCTTTTCCTGGAAATCGGGATGCAAGTCATGATCAAAACCTGATTTGTAATCCTATTTTCAGGGCAAAAGTTAGCCATAATTTGCTGGTGCGGATGTAAAAGTTTGACTTGTAATGACTTCATGAACACATCCATGTTGTTTTCCTGGCTGTTTCTACCTGCTTTTATTGTAACTTGCACATCAGGTGTCTCATTCTTGGAAATCACAGTATCTGCCATCAGATTCTAACCTCCCTGCATTTGGCAGACAGAATAAATATATTCATATTCATATTAATATTATTTGGGCAGACTTTTTTTTTTTAAAAAAATCTGGCAGCAGCCACTCCTGCCTTTGAAATGCCTTTCTTAATTGCAATTGCACCCACTCCCTAATTACAAAATGGCCTCGGGTGACAAGTACTGCTGCAGTTAGTGGGAAGCAACAGGAGTGTACAGCATGTCAGTGAAACTTTATAAACAACTGAGGAGGAGCAAGGGAGAAATAGAAAACCAAGGAGGCAATGTGTGAAAAATACTAGCACAGGTTTAGTGGGAGAAAGGACAGGGATGGCATTGCATCTGCTGAATTCCATTGGTTGCAGGGGTATAGGGTGCTGGGAACTGGCAGAAACTGATGGGCAGCTTAAGGCCACAGAAAAAGTGTGGAAGGTGACATGGGTGTATAACCAAGATATAGAGCAGGAAGGTCAGTATCATTTGGAAGGCACCCTCAAAATCAGTTTTCACTGCTTGATGTGGTTTATAGTACTCATTTCCCTCTGCTCAAGACTAATGACTATCTAAACCAGGGGTCCCCAACCCCTGGTCCGTGGACCGGCACCGATCCGCAGCACGCCAGCAAGCGGGCCACGCAAACAAGGAAAGCTCCAAACTCAGGATGCAGGCAGTATTCAAAACATCTCATCTATCTGCATCTTTGCAATCTCTTTTCCAAGATCCCTCCTAGCAGCTTTTTCCTTTCTCCCTTAGCAAATTTCTCACAATGTTCCCAAGGTCTATTTGGGATTTTAAAATTCTTTAAATTTCATTAAGATTGCCTCAATAAATCTCCCCTGAATTGAGTGGAATTTAAAATTCCATGTGGGATGGATGGATGGATGGATGGATGGATGGATGGATGGGAGGGAGGGAAGGAAGGAAGGAAGGAAGGAAGGAAGGAAGGAAGGAAGGAAGGAAGGAAGGAAGGATAGAATAAAAAATTATTGGAAAGTCCTTGCAGTATCTGAGAGGGTAAGCACTTGGTTTTGCCATCAGGTTATGGGACTTCATGGAAGCATGGATCTCATTAAATGATAGAAGCTGGCTGCGCTCTTCTCTGTTTTTTTGTTATAGTTTTAAATTGTTTTGACAAGATAAATTTTGATGATTCTTTAGTTTTTATTTTAACTCTGTATGCCGCCAAGAGTCACATGCAAGTGAGATGGGTGGCTATGTAAATTCATTCAATCACACCCAACTCAGTGGCAACCAACTAATTTGGTACCATCTATTCCTAAGATTGTTCCCTTTTTAGCACGGAATCATAGAATCTGATTGAATAATATTTTTATACTTTGAATTCTTTAAAGAAAGGTAATAAGTGTTCATTAGAATTCCTCATCATAGCTATATCAGTGAAGGACAAAATATGGAAAATTTTATACATGTTCTTAGATTCATAGATTTTTGTGAGGCCTTTAAGATGAAAAAAAGAATGATTCTCATACATTTTATCTGTTAATGGAATTAAACTGAGTTATCTCCACTTCTGTTTATTTTTATTTTAAAATAGAAAGTTAAAGAGAGCTCTAATGCTCACTGTCATCCTATCTTAAATTAAAAAGAATGAAATGGGTAATAATTGAAGAGAGGGCTTATCCTCTATCATTTGCTATTTGATTTAATATGCTAATTTAAATTCTCTTGTGTCCCTTTTAGACTTTGTTCCTGTCACCTTTATGCTTCCAGCTGATTATAATTTATTTGTTGAAGAATTCCGAAAAAATCCTTCCAGTACATGGATTATGAAACCTTGTGGAAAAGCTCAAGGGAAAGGAATTTTTCTCATCAATAAGCTTTCCCAAATTAAAAAATGGTCTCGGGACAGCAAAACATCTACGTAAGTTTCTTAGGGAAGAAATTCTTTTTCTTTGATATTGTCTCTCAGTGTGCCATATTTGATTAAATATGTCCTATTCCAGATTTAGTCTTCGTCAGAAACTAATTTATAACTTCTTTAAAAAGCTGGTTTAAGTTTTAAGGTAAAATTTTGCAGACACTTTTATACGTTAAGCTTAAAATAAATTTACACTTTGCACTAATAGATAAGATAGATAAGATAATCTTTATTGTCACTTTTTATATATACCCATACCCATACCCGTACACGCAAAAAAAGAATTAACAGGGTTGATACTATACGGTACAAAGCTATTACAGATTCTAGTTGTTCTGCTTTGGAAACTGCGAAGCCCCCTCCCAGAAGGTAACAAAGAAAACCGGTCCTGGAGAGGATGTGTAGCGTCCCTGACGATACTGTGGACCCTGGTCAAGCATCGCTTATATGTCCTGGATAGAAGGAAGTGAACTAATCTTTCCGCCGTCTTTACCACTCTCTGCATAGCCTTCCTGTCTGAAACAGTAGTAACTTCCAAACCCCACAGTAATACAATATGGCAATCTCTACAATCGTCCCTCTATAGAAAGTGGTAAGAAGGAAGATTTGCTCTTCTCATACGATGCAGAAAATGCAGGCTCTGCTGTGATTGCTTCACCAGTGTCTCGCTATTGAGCGACCAAGTTAACCTGCTCGTCAGCTGCATACTCAGAAACTTGATACTACTAACCACATCCACCGTTCAGTTGTTAAACGCAGAGGTGTATGGTTGTGACTTCCTTTTCTGAAATCGATCTCTTTTCTCCCCACCCCCACTACATTTAAAACCAGGCTGTTTTGATTACATCAGTTCATCAAACCCTCTACTTCTTCCTGGTTATCACCCTCACTGTCATCCTGAATAAGGCCTACGCACTGTTCTGTCATCCGCATATTTCACAATATGGTTGGTAACAAACCTTCCACAACAGTCATGGGTCAGCAGGATGAACAACAGTGGACTTAGGACACGGCCCTGAGGAGAACCTGTGCTCAAGAACATGGTGTTAGAAATACTAGTCTCAACTTGCACATACTGGGGCCTATCAGTGAGAAAATCAAGAACCCAATTGCACAAAGGAGTATTGAAGCCTAAAAGGCCCAGTTTTTCTATTAAAGAAATGATCATATTAAATGCCAAACTAAAGTCAACAAACATTATTCGCACATGAGTGTTTGTTTCCTCTAAGTGCGCCAAGCTCAGATGGAGAACAGAGGAAATAGCATCCTCTGTGGAACGATTTGGATAATAAGCAAACTGAAGTGAGTCAAACGCAGGAGGGAGGCTGGAGACAATAAAGTCCTTTATCAGCCTTTCAAAACATTTCATAATGATGGACGTAAGTGAACAGAGATGATAATCATTAAGACCCCTGATTGAAGACTTTTTTTGGCACTGGCAAAATAATAGCAATCTTAAAACAATGGGACCACTGCCTGCTGCAATGGTTAAATTACATTTTAAATTAAATATGTGCTATTCCAGATTTAGCCTTCATCAGAAAGTAATTTATAACTTCTTCAAAAACCTGATTTAAGTTTTATGGTAAAATTTTGCAGACACTTCTATACGTTAAGCCTAAGTTACGCTTTACACTAAAGTTGCGTCACTAAGTTCGTCTTAATTTAATTAGTTTGACACAAGGACTTGATTTTAAAAAAGAAAGACTTTCTGCAAAGGAAATAGGAAATTTGCATAGGAAACATCAAATTAAAACAAATGGGAAAAATTATTTCCTGAATCTCCTTTTGCCAGATGCCGATAAATACTCTCCTGCTTGAAGGGCAGTTATCTGTATTCATGGCACTTGAAACTGCTTGCTATTTAGGATACGTTTATGAAGTTTCGTGGCCACAACAAATACAATGATTGAAATTTGTAATGCACAATCAGAGCAGAAAGGTAGAATACTGGATGTCTCAAATCTAGTTTCCCAAAGCCCTCTGGGTTTTCACACCCTGGCCCTGCCTCCTATTTTGGGATAGGAGCCTGTTAGTCCCAGGGACACGTTACCTGGCTTTCTACCCCATATCCCAGTACATGAAAGAAACAGGGCATGCATGTCTTGCCTTTCTGTTAATTAAAAGGTGAAAATGAAGAGAAGAGAAATCATACTTTCTGTAATGCAATCTCCTGGAAATATAGTTTAGAGCAGTGTTTCTCAACCTTGACAATTTTAAGGCACGTGGACTTCAACTCCCAGCAATGCTGGCTGTGGAATTCTGGGAGTTGAAGTCCACGTGCCTTAAAATTGTCGAGGTTGAGAAACACTGGTTTAGAGACAGATGGCTAGAGAATTTCAGTCTTTCCATGGGAGACAGTCCAAACTCACAACCGATTAAGCAAATCTAAATTTTATGATAAGAAAGAGAGAAAACATAACAAAACTGCCTTTAAATATCCAACATGTAAAGATTCAGTAATTGAAAGACATCAGTTACTTTGGCATCCTTTTCTTTCCCAAAAGGAAGAGGCTCCCATTTCGTTTCTTTTTAGTGAGATTGGACGGGAGATGGTGATGGATGAAAAGATAATTCATTCCCCATGTTGCCTGTGTGCTGCATTTCCATTCTCCCTTGAGAAAGAAGGAAGCATTTTACAACGCAGTAAGTCAGCAAGCTAGCAGTAAGATTTACATATAGATCAGTGTTTCTCAACCTTGACAATTTTAAGGCATGTGGACTTCAACTCCCAGAATTCCACAGCCAGCATTGCTGGCTGTGGAATTCTGGGAGTTAAAGTCCACATGCCTTAAAATTGTCAAGGTTGAGAAACACTGATATAGATGCTTAAATTCGATTTTGCCCGAGTTTGAAAAATATCATGGCTCTGGCAGAAGAAGAAAACTTCATATTGATGTATATGGCTTTGTCTTTATTACTTTTAAAAGACAAAAACTAATTTAATAAATTTAAATAATGAAATATAAATATCTTTAGGTTTGTATCTCAGTCCTCCAAAGAAGCGTATGTGATTTCCCTGTATATCAGTAATCCACTTTTGATTGGTGGGAAGAAATTTGATCTACGCTTATATGTATTAGTATCTACTTACCGTCCTTTGAGGTGTTATATGTAAGTTCAGTTTTTGTTCTATTTTGTTCTATTTGCTGCCGGGAGGTGGGGGTGGGTGGGAATTGTAGAGTTGAAAACAGACATGTAGACCAGCAAGACTAGTATTAAAAGAATCTAGCCATTCAGGAAAGATACCTGTTTGTTGTTGTTAATTGTGAAGTCGTGTCCAGCCCATCGGGACCCCATGGACAACGTTCCTCCAGGCCTTCCTGTCCTCTACCATGTTCTGGAGTCTATTTAAGCTCACGCCTACTGCTTCAGTGACTCCATCCAGCCACCTCATTCTCTGTCGTCCCCTTCTTCTATTGCCCTCCATCTTTCCCAGCCTTAGGCTCTTCTCCAGTGAGTCCTTCCTTCTCATTAGGTGGCCAAAGTAGAGTTTCAACTTCAGGATCTGGCCTTCTAAGGAGCAGTCAGGGTTGATCTCCTCTAGGACTGACCGGTTTGATTGCCTTGCAGTCCAGGGGACTCGCAGGAGTCTTCTCCAGCACCATAGTTCAAAGGCCTCAATTCTTTTGCGTTCAGCCTTTCTTATGGTCCAACTTTCACAGCCATACATTGCAACTGGGAAAACCATGACCATGATTTTCCCAGATATCTGTTTAGATTATAGATTATGCTTAAAACATGCTAATAAAGAGATCCATCACGTTTCAGGTTACAGTGATCATCTGCTGCTCCAGTTTAGAAGATTTCCCCCCCCCCCCAATATTCAACTATAACATTGAATCTTCCTATATTGTTATTAAAGTCGGATACTCCATATTCAGCATTCTGGAGCAATGGAGAACAATCTTGACTTTCCGGGCAGCATTGTATCTGCTATTTGAAGAGCACTATCTTATCCCCTTTAACCCTTTCCTTTAAAACCTACTTCGATTTCTTTTCTAATCTAATCATTTCCAGCAATGTAGTATCTCAAAGATACTGATGACAGGGTTTGACCAATGCACAATAAAGTAAAATTATTACTTGTCTTATTTTGAAACTATAATTTTAAAATTACATTTAAAAAAAATGCAGCCACAGGAAACAGCTGGTTCAGGATTCTTTCACATGGCAGTGCTCAATACCATCATTCAGTTTGGGAATCACACTTCCAATGCCTAATCTGCCCCGGCAATGAATTAGAAGTTTTATTAGCGCAGGAATCATGGGGAAGAGAGAGGCAGGGTGGAGAACAATTTCTTCATTCCAGGATCTGGTCTCCTGGGAAAAATGATACCAAAGGAGTCATTTTCTGCTGCTTCTCTCCACTGTTGCCTCTGCCTCTGATAAGAAAGAAGAAGGATTTGTCTTCCCTCATTATGACTTTTGTTGGCAAGGAGCAAGGAGAGGAGAAGTTCTAGTGTCAGTTCTCTTATCCCATGGAATGACCACTATAGGACCCATTCTTTCCTGTATTTCCTCGGGTCCAATACCATCCTCTGTTGCATTTCATACCTCTTTGAAAGATCAAGTGTGTTCACCCATCTCGTCTCCCTGGCTGATATAATGCTAGAGAGAAATAGCAGTGTTGGTATACTTGTTCCTCCAGTTATTTTAAACTAGATCCTGTCTACCAGATCATCATCTGAATTTTGGGGCAGCAATGGGTGCATAAAACAGTACAATTCTTCTCTTTCTATTGTCTCCTTGTTGAATGTGTTAGAAGAATTTTTGTGGTCCGTTTCCTGAGCTGGGTTACGAATAAGCACAAGTGGCAGCTGTTAGGAGTAGTTTATTCATCCAACCACATACAGGGGTTGAAGGTAGCCTGCAATGTTAGGGATGTATCGCCAGTACTAGAGGTATATATTATGACAAGTGGGCTTTGATGTTTGGCTATGCAGATTGAGGTTTCCCTACGCCAGGGTTAGGCAACCTCGGCTCTTTTATGACTCATGGACTTCAACTCCCAGCTATGCTGACTCAGGAATTCTGGGAGTTGAAGTCCGTGAATCATAAAAGAGCCGAGGTTGCCTACCTCTGCCCTAGGCTTTGATTGTGAGGTGTACGTTTAGATGTATATAAGATATAGACCTGAGGATGTGTGAAATTCAGGAAGGAAGATCCTTCGTAGGTGTGGAGTGTATGTTTATTCAGGGAATAGTGGCTGCTGAAAGGGGAGTGATGGTGGTGGGGAAAATCAAAGGCTTTTAATTTTCAGTGTTCATTTCTATGTTCTTTTTCTATTTAAATTCTAACAAATCCCACCAGATTTCCATTGTACGTATTGAACCATATTTGGTTTGCTACTTATTGATTGAATTGGAATTGGACTCTTAAATAATAATAAATAATCTGTCAGGCAGTTTATAAATTAAAACACAAAACAATAGGAAACAATAGAATAAGGATTAAAATAGTAACAGGGTATTCAGAAAGAGATCAATGTAGAAAAGTTGATTGGACAGGACAAAAGTAACCAACCCTTTGCATAGAAAATCTGTTTACGTGAAATAAAACATGTTATAAAATTGTAATAAATAAAAAAGGAAAGATCAAAGTAACTACTGTCAAAGAAGCTGTCTCTTTACGAACATTTAAATTATAAGATAAGATCTTTTCTTTATATTTAAGGTATAAACTTGGGTTTTGCCGATTTTGCACAGTAAAATATACTCCAAGTACAAGTGAATTGGATAACATGTTTGTCCATCTTACAAATGTTGCCATTCAGAAACATGGGGTAAGTTCCTTTTATAACATAGATCTAAATTATTTGGAATTCATTAAAATGTGTAACAAAAATAAAGTTGTTCAGTTATATTTCTAAATATGTTTATTTATTCAGAGTCTCATCTCTTGTGTATGTAATTCGCAGTGAGTCACAGAAAATATTGAGAATCATCAAAACTACTAGAGATCATTTCACCAAGGCTGCTATTGGCAGCAAAATTTTGAGGCCCTGGAAATAAATTCCTTGTGTGTCCAATCATATTTGACCAATAAAGGATACTATTCTATTCTGTTCTGTTCTATTCTATTCTATTCTATTCTATTCTATTCTATTCTATTCTTATTTATTTGTAATAATTTATATGCAGCTGTCTCCTGGGACTTTAGGCCACTCACAAGAATACAAAAACCATAAAACAATATTCTAGAACATAAAGCATTAAATCTATCACTTGAAACCAGTAGCCAATGAACAGTTGACGTAGCCCTTTGCTCTCCTACCTAGAACATAAACATTTTAACACACCTAGATTGAAATCTTCTGTTAATTATTCTGTTTATTAGCTTAGGAATTTATCTTGTCCTTAAATTAATATTAAAAGGCTATAGGATGTGTCCTGACAGAATAAAAATGCATTAAAGCCTACTTAAAGTCTGTACATTTTTGTTGATTGTTTGGGTGCATAATCCAAATTATCAGATTTAAAGAAGACGTCTGGTTCTGAAAAGTCTTTTGAAAGTAAAAATGATAATTTGATGTACCTTTGTAGGATGATTACAACCACATTCATGGTGGCAAATGGACGGTCAATAATCTGCGTTTGTATCTGGAAAGCACTCGAGGGAAAGATGTCACAAACAAGCTGTTTGATGAAATACACTGGATAATTGTACAATCATTGAAAGCAGTTGCAGTGAGTAGAAAAACAAGTTTACGATAAAGAAACGTTAAGAAATACAAAAGACCGTTTAGATTCTTTTCAATGGTTAGTTACATTTGTTACTGAAATGTGAACAAGTATCATAGTAAATGTTTGACGTATTTTTTATTCCTCATACTTTGTGATCCATTATTTTACATATTCTGCTATTCTGGAATGTGGAATGTCAAACATAAGGGAAGCTGTGTAATATAAAAGTACAATAAATACTTAAAACCAGTAAAGATTGAACGAAAAGTATTTCCTCCTTCTCCTCCCTTACATATACTCGTCACTGCCCTTAAAAAAAAGAATGGAAAATTCATAAATTAGGTAGTGGAGATATTGTGTACATTTATACATGCACAAATATATTCAGATACGTACATATAGGACAATATTTTTATGGTATGCATTCCACTGATCTTTAAACAAAAGTAAAATCAAGATAAATATGAAATTTAGCAACCTTACAAAAGAATGTACAGCTACAAATACAGATTCTAAGAAAAATAGCTCAGTGAATGATTTATTGAATCTAAGCCATCTTATTATTAGATTATGGGAGAAAGTTACCAGTATACTTAACTCTATTAAGAGTGACAAGTATATTAGCCTTCAAAATAAAAATGTTACATAAAAACTTGGTAGCCTTCCTGAGAATTTTTAAATAAGGAAAAGATAAGACATTCTCTCAAGAGTAAGAGCAAAAAAAAAAAAAAGAGGGATTTTATGACTGTAAAAATATTAAGCAGTAGAACAGTTTGCCTTCTGGAATTGTAGGCCTTTTTATTTACAGTTTCAGACAAATAAATTGTGAATCTTTTGTTTGACTTTATATTCTTCCTCTTTATATTTGAGGATTTATATTCTTATCTATAGTATTATTGGTAAGCTTGCACAACTTCTTTGTAAACATTCAGGTTATATTTGAAATGTCTTGTGCACATTATTTAAATAGTCTTCTTCAATACACTACGAAGATAATCTGATTGCACATCCCTCTTCTCATGTTTACTTTCATCTCTTATAGCCTGTGATGAACAATGATAAACATTGCTTTGAATGCTATGGATATGACATCATTATCGATGACAAGCTTAAGCCATGGCTTATTGAGGTAATTAAACTTGTGTTGTCTTTGCGGTGCTGTTTTTCAGAACTGTAGAAAAAGATTTTTTTTTTAATTGATGAAAGATAGTTTAGAAAGGCATAGAAAGCAAAATCAATCAAACAAATCAACCCAAAAAGAAAATCTGTAAAGGAAATCCCAACATTTTTCTACTTGTTTGAGAAACACTCCCAGAACATAAAAATAACTACCCAAGCAATTTCTACTCTTGCTTTTTAAGGTTTTCTTAATTAACACAGAATCTTTTCTAAATGCATGATGTAATTGCCCTTATTAATTCAGTAAGGAAGATGTTAAATCACTGAATTACTACTGATGGAACTCTGCACACTTAGAATCCAAAGGTAGGAAGAGGCTATTTATTCCAAATACCAAGCTCAGTGTAGAAATCTAAATTAATAGGTAACAGAGTTCTTTCTCCAAGTGCTCTTACTATAATTGTTGTTGTTAATTGTGAAGTTGTATCCGACCCATTGTGACCCCATGGACATTCCTCCAGGTCTTCCTGTCCCCTACCATCTTCTGTCCCCTACCATTTAAGCTCACACCTATTGCTTCAGTGATTCCATCCAGCCACCTTACTATAATTGCTTTCCTTTAAATAGGAGAACAGATAACGTTCTTGTGGCATTCTTGTGATTTCAGGCACTTGAAAAGAATGATCATATACTAAGTCTCAATTTACATTCTTGCATCAGAAGTTGGAACATACAGATAATCTGCAAATTACAAATGTGATTGAGCCCAGAATTATAATCTTGAATCATGCCGGTCAGATGGACAAGTAGGCTTGGGCAATCTTTCTCCTATAATGCCCAACTTTGACCTTTTGGGGTCACTCATTAAGCAAACAATTGTGCCAGTTGTAAAGCAAATGCGGCAGTCATTAAGTGAATCCACTGTCTGCAATGGGCACTTTTTATTGGAAACCAGAAGTAAACACCACATAACTGTTGGGACACTGCAATTGGCCATAAATGCAGGCCATATGCCAAGTACCCAAAATGCCATCATGTGATTGTTAAGCAATCAGTCGTAAATTGAGGATTACCTGTAAATACATAATGATGAAGTTTGTGACATGAGTTATCACACACATCATTTAATCCTGGTTTCCTGCACTGGTCCATGTTACGTTGAACATTGAACAGAAAGTTTTAAAAAGGTATTGTAAATTGTGCAACTGAGACACTTTCCATAGAACAAAGCTTTGTCTTACATTTTTAATGTATAACAATGTATGTAATTTTTCACTATATAAAATATATAAATAACTTAATTTCCTTTCCTATTGCAACAATTTCTCTTTAAATGTAATGGTCCAAAGAAATATAATAGATAATATCCTTAAGGAACAAAACTTTATAAGTGTATACTTAGTAGGAAGAGAGCATATTAGTGCAGAAGACACCTGGTAGGACTTTTTCCAACAAACAGGTTTTATTAGAAAGTAGTAGATTAGGTAACCTGCAGAACTGTTAATCAGAAAAAAGTGTTACCAGATTACTTGTTATCTGATGTAGAAATTTTGATGCGAATTTGTTTGCAGTAAAATTTCATTTTTAATGTATGCATTTTAGTGTACATTTAAAGTGACAATAAAGTTTTCTACTCTACTCTTCTTTACTCTACTACTCTATTCCATTCCATTCCATTCTCCTCTACTCTATTCTAATTTCATAAGCTGTTATTTATTGAGCAAATGATAACCATAAATTACCTGTTTTCTCTTTCCTGTATTTTCCATAGGTTAATGCTTCTCCATCTCTTACTTCCAGTACTGCAAATGACCGTATACTCAAATACAATCTGATAAATGACACACTGAATATTGCTGTACCCAATGGAGAAATTCCTGATTGTAAATGGAATAAACCGCCCCCCAAAGAAGCTCTTGGGAATTATGAAATTTTGTAAGTGTTTAATAGATATACAAATGGATTTGCTAGAGTTCTACTTGGCCAAGATCTTACTCTATGAAGGTTTCACAATGAATCCACATTAATTGTTAAGTCAAGACATCAGGTCATGATGTATTAACCATTACTGCCTTGCTATTAGAATGCACACTGAATCCATTTTATTGGAGGAAAAATAGTGATGGGAAATACCATCAGATTCTTCATTTTTAATGATGGAAGTGATATCACAAGTGCCTAGATTCAGAGAACAGTATTTTGTTCACCAGGGCCAAGGCACTAATTTAAGAAAGGAAATAATTTTGTTTGGATGTGTATTTGTGTGTACAGTTAGTCCTCGACTTATGACCAGAACCATTTTTTGTTGCTAAGCAAGGTGGTTGTTAAGCGAATTGTGTCTCATTTTACAACCTTTTCCCACAGTTATTAAGGAATCAGTTCAGTTGTTAAGTGAATTTGGTTTCCGTCATTGCTCTGCTTGTTGGAAGCCAGCTGGTGCATGATCCCAGGAGAATGCAACTGTCATAAATATAGGCCAGTTCCAACCACCCAAATTTTGACCACATGACCATGGGGGATGCTGCAGTGATTGTAAGCATGACAAATGGTCATAAGACACTTTTTCCAGTGCTGTTTTAACTTGGAATGGTCACTAATCAAATAGTTGTTAAGTCCAGGTCTAGCTGTGTACTAAGAGTCACAGGCATGCATATAGATTTATCACTTAACTTTGTGAACAGGAGCCAGTGTTTTCCCCAAAGTTAGAGTTTATTGATTGTATCATGTGGATTAATTATGGACAGGAAAGAGCAGTAATTTGGTTTTTTTAAAAATATCCTCAAGTGGATACACTTTAAAGCAGGGGTCTTCAAACTTGACCCTTTTATGACTTGTGGACTTCAACTCCCAGAATTCCTCAGCCACAATTAACTGTTTTCCTCATCCAGGGTTCTGTATTGAGGAGTTTTCTTTTAAATGGTAGAGCACTCATGTCTATAGTTTCTTCACCTGGAAACTGTTGCAATTCCACTCAAGAAAAAATTCACCCTTTTGAGCCAAACCAGCCATTGATGTTTATCTCTCTTCCCTTAGATATGACGAAGAGGTGGCCCAAAGTGAAATGCCAGATCGAGATTTGCGAAGTCGCTCTGGACAGCCTGTTGGATGTAAGGGAAACCGAGCCAGAGATCCTGGAAAAGCAGGATACCTTACCTGGAAGTAGTAGAATAAACTGAGGTGTTTTTTTTTTTTTTTGAAATTCTGTGTGGATGTCTTTTAATGTAATTTATTTGCTTAATACTAATCCAGAGAAAAGAATATTGATCAAAGATGAGAGGATAAGAGGCATGTGCATATATTTCAAGTTGATCATTAGATCTATTGCAGTTTTAACTGCATACTTATTATCATGCAAGATTCTTATGCTGCATGTTATAGTAGAAAAATGTAATGAGTTAATGCAAATAAAGTAGCATTTTAATAAAAGAACTCATTTCAAAGTCACACCACTTTCTTTGCGGTAATAACTGCTGTCTCAGGCACTGCAACAAAAATATGCATTCCAAGATTAGTATATTTATTCCCCCCTGATTGTTCTAGAATTCTAAGGCAAACTGTTCAAAGCGTATTTCCCTATTGCAAACTTATATTAATATATTAGAAATTCTATTTCTTTATAATGCATACTCTTCAAAGTTAAATATAAATAAAATAAAAAAAAACAAATATGTTTGAGTGAAAAGATACCTTAAATTTTCATTTGGGAAGGCTATGTGAGGTTAATTGTGACAGTATATCACAAAGATTGATCTGCATATAGGCCTCAAACAGAAGCCTCTTTACCCACAATTTGTTGCATTACTTCTACTGGCTAAAGACTAGAGTTGAATTCTTCAGTGGCTAATCTGGCAGGTTACACTAAAACGCTGAAATGTTGCAGTAGATTTGACAAATAAATATTGTACCACTTAAAACATGGATTTTAGTCACGCTATTATTTTTATTTAGAAGTATTGTATTTGTCTCTTAGGAACTGTCCTCTCACTAAAGTCCAGTCGGAGGAAATAGATGAGCTGTGTGCAGGAAATACACCACTATAGTAATGGGGGACTTCAAATACTCTGACATTAACTCCGCAGGTTATGCGAGATCAAACAAGTTCTTGACGTGAATGAAGGAAATGTACATATCCTGGCATAATATTGCAGGATCCAGTCTGGGTCAGTCACCAGGACCAGAGGTTTAGTCATCCAAGCTTTAGGACTTGTGCTGGAGCCCATCCTCAGGGAACTTGAATTCTCTGAGGATAGGCTCCAGCACAAGTCTAAAAACTCGGAAGAATAAACCTCTGGTCCAGGTAACTGACCCAGACTAGGTCCAGCAAATTCCCGACATGTCTAGCTGACAACTTTGTCATACAAAAGGTAAACAAGGGAGCAAGAGGGACAGTTATACTGGACTTAATCTTATTAATAGGGATGATATGGTTGAGGAAGAAGAAGTTATAAGAACTTTGGGGAAGAGTGACCATATCATTTTTTATAATTTTACATTCTATTATTGTAAGCAGCCCAGAGTAGCCCCATGGTGACATGGGCAAATAAATAAATAAATAAATAGGTATTATCACGTCTCGTGATCTTGATGCTATACCTCTATTAATGTAGCCTAGAACTGCATTGGCTTTTTAGCTGCAACACACCGCTGGCTCATATTCAAGTAGTAGTCCACCAGGACACCTGGATCTCTCTCATAGTTACTACTGTTGAGCCAAGTACCATGTATTCTGTACCTTTCCATTTCTTTTTTTCAGCCTAAGTGAAGGATTTTAATTTTTCTCACTATTGAACCTCATCTTGTTGGATAGGGTCCAATGCTCAAGTCTGTCAACATCCTTCTGACTCTTGAATCTATTTTCCAAAGTGTTAGCATTTCCCCCACCTTGGTGACATCTGCAAATTTTATGAGTTCCCCTCCTATTCTTTCATTTAGAACTGTTATGAAAGTGTTGAAGAGCACTGGATGCAAGACAGAAGTTAAGGTACCCCACTTCATGCTTCCCTCCCTGTGGATGTAATTTCACTGAGGACTACACAATGGGTGCGGTTAGTCAACCAATTGTGAGTCTATCTGGTGATGATGCTATCATATCTATCTATCTATCTATCTATCTATCTATCTATCTATCTATCTATCTATCTATCTATCTATCTCATATATCAAATCATTTATATATCCAAATTTTCCTAAAATCAGAGTTTTGCCAGTATAACTATGGCAACCAGAGAGATTGTCATTTCAAGGAGAAACAATCTTGTATTACAGTATTCCTTGTCATTACTGCCCCCTCAATACATAAGAGAGCACCACGGTATAGTTCAGCCAAGCTTCACATCCCTTTGGGAAACTCAGAAGCAATGTATTTTGAGAACAGCAAGGAAAATGATGACACATATTGTAATAACTTATCTACATAATTTCCCCTACATAGGATGCTGACAGACTTAGAGACCCCAAACTGGATAAGAGCTTAAGATGCTTCTGGACTAACTGCAGGTTCTGGATGTCCTTTAAGGGTTCCCATATAAAGTATATTCCAGTAATCCATTCAGGAGGTAAACCAAATCTTGTGTGACTGTGTTTGTTAATAAAATCTCGGAAAGTGTGCAATTGGTTAGGTATTATCTGTGCCATACCAATTTCCTTTGCTTGCTTTCTGGGGTAGGGATGCCTCCTGAAATGTAAGCCTGAGTAGAATGTTTCATTTTGTCCTGAAATGGGCTCCATTGGCTTCTCTGTAGCTTTCTGGAACGGCTTGATTGGGCCTCTCATCTAAATCAGGAGTGGCCCAAGCTTAGCTCCCGAGCCCCGGTCAAATCTGGTGCTCCCAACGGCCGAGCTTCGAATCTATGTATTGTCTCCATACCATCCCGAATGAAGAGGAGGGATTGTTTTTCGCCACTCTTCCTACCGGAATGAAAGTAAAAATCATGGATCTCGTTGGCTAAACAGACGAGGCGGGATCGTTACAAGCTTGGAAAAGGGATCCAATGGAAGAAAATCGCTCTAGCGTCAGGGGTTCTCAACCTTGGCAACTTTAAGACTTGTGGACTTCAATTCCCAGAATTCCTCAGCCAGCAAAGCTGGCTGAGGAATTCTGGGAGTTGAAGTCCACAAGTCTTAAAGTTGCCAAGGTTGAGAACCCCTGCGAGTCCAGTTCAAGGTGGAGCCCGTGGTGATGTCTAGTTTGGAAGCTGGCTTGCAGGCGCGTCGTTACCCGTTACCTTTGGTTTCGTTACCTAGCCGGGTCACAAAACATGTACAAGCCAAGTTCACAGCACACCAGGACCCCCATCTGAAGGATCCATCCCACCAAGTTGAACGCGACGCGTCAGCCTAGAAAGCTGACCCACCCGGTTTCCAAGTTCGCTGCACGCATGCGTCCTTTCTCTCTCTCTCTCGTCTCCGTAAAAAAAGGAAGTTGAAGCCGATTGGCGAGCGGCGAGAGAAAGCAACGGGATGGGTCCCTTCGTTTAAAAAAAAAAAATAGAAGCCAGGGAGGCAGCTAAATGAGGCGGATGCGGATATCCTGCAGGTTTTGCGGCTATCCAATCGGGAGGGGGCGCTTCTGAGGCGGCCAATGAGAGCCCGGAAGAGAACGGCGGAGGCCGTGAAGGGAGTTCTTTGCGTCCGAACTGAGCGGGCGACAGGGGTCAGGTTGGAGTTGCCTGGCCATTCGAGCTGCCCCGGGGGAGCCGCCGGTGAGGGGCCGAGGCGGACCTGCTGTTTGCCGCTTGGAGCCGGGGCTGAGGAAGAGACCCTGGAAGACACCGAGGTAAGCGAGAAGAGATCGGTGTCCTGCTGAGAGAGTTTTCCATTCAGCCCTTTCCATTCAGATGGGTGGCAGCTAGTGGGCTGGGTCCCGGGGGATCTGGGGGGTGGGGGGGGGGGTGGAGGCTGCTCAGCTGGTCCTCCGAAAGGTATGGAGGTGGACTCTTCCCATTCTCGATCCTCCTATGATCACCTTTTGGTCTCATTTTCTCGGCAAACGAATGACTGCCCCAGTCACTCTGGGTAGGTCGAAAAAGACGTCAATTGGTTCAAGGTCATCGGCCAATCAGCCTCACCCAAGGCTGGGGAGGGAGGATCCAGGATCCAACTTTTACCTCCGTTTGTGGGAATGGGTCAAGATGTGTGTGTGTCTATCTCTCTCTCTGTGTGTGTGTGTGTGTGTATGTATGTATGTATGTATGTATATAGAGGGCTGCCTGGATGACTTTGAGTCAAAACTCATTTCTCACAGAGTTGTTTAAAATTGAAGGGCGAGTCCTTCGTTTTTCAGGCGAAGATCAGTAGTAATAAAGGATGAACATGATAAAGCTATAAATACCAGGAGTCTTCTGGCATCCAAGAGACAAATGCTATCCTGCATGTTAACTTTGGACAAGTCTCCTTTTAAAAATGGTTATTAGTAAAAACCAATGAGATCATAATAATAAACAATAGCAGTAGTCTGGCTTGATTAGAAAGGATTAGAAATGATTATTCATCAATTTCATCACATTTTCCTTCTTACTTGGAATACATTGGACAAATGCCCTACCCTCTTGTGTGGTGGTTGCACTGTAATTTAAGCACTATTCACTGCTCATTCTTTACTCACATCTCTGGTTGCCTTAACCATGGTTCATTGAATTATAAAATCTGGGTTCGCATGACAGACCAAATTTAAACAAATCAGAGGCTGCATGCAAAGAGGTTGCATGCATACAGGTTTGTAGGTTAGAATGTAATTCACTAGTTTGAACATTAATGTGTTAATACTGAAGTTATCAACATGGATTGGCATTCAGTTAATGAAAAGTTCTTTAGTTGACATATCTTTCACCTATTCCTTGTAAACCTTGCTTTGTGTTGGATTTGGCTTTTAATTATGAAAGCATCATGCTAGAACAGGAGACTATCAGTTCTAGTCTTGGCTTAGTCACAAAGCCACCTGGGTGTTCTTGAGCCAGTCACTTTGTCTCAACCCTAGTAAGGAGGCAATGGCAAACCACTTCTGAAGAACCTTGTCAAGAAAACTGCAGAAACTTGCCCAGGCAGTCTGAGAATTGGGCATGATTGGACAGAAAAAAAAGTTTGCCAGTCAAAGTTATAGATGTGGAGATAAATGCTGTAGTAATTGTATATTTGGGATGAGGCATTTTGGCAATCTTAGAAGAAACACCACCTAGATCCAAAATAAATCCTACAGGTCCAGGATACCAAGTAATGTTTAGATATTTGATGGAAAAACATGCTTGTTTTGATGAGAATCAAATGATGGAAATGAAAAAAAAGTATGATATTATTCAAGGTATGGCAAGTAGAGTAAAAGTTAAAAAAACAGACATATGAAGAAACAGAACAGTAAGTGATCTTGATTTTGCTGACCATTTGTTCATTTTATATTAATACGGGTACTGTCTGTCTTCAAATTCTTGTTAGGGTTACTAAGAAAGGTAAAGAGTGAGTTCCTATTGAATGCTCTATATTTCATGCCATCAACCATGGGATCCATCTGGGAGATTTGACTAATGTGGAATGTGGAGACAACTTATTGCACTGCTACCTATAGGTAGTGATATTGAAGGGTTTTTTTGAAACTCGTATTCAATAGCTATTTGAAATCCTAAAAGTTCTGTTGTCTTTCATGCTTTTTATATCTAGACATATATTATGAGGGGTTAAATGAACTCAGTGAAGGACTAAATATGTATGAATAAACTGAGGCTTAATCCTGATAAACTGAAGATCCCGCTGAACAGCAAATGGATCAAATTGGAAATAGAAATACAACTCGCATGAAATAATCAGTTATGCTGTTTTGAGGTTCTCTTAAATTCAGCATCTCTCCCCCCTCCCTTCCCCCCCAGATAATGAAATGATGAAATGAAATGAGCACAACGATCTGATTTAAGGCATTGTTTGTTTAGCTA